AGCACCTGCCTCATCCTAAAGCTAGAGGAAGAGAGGCAAGAGTCCTCTGCCCCACTCACATCTCATGCTGAGTAACAAGCACCAGCAGATTACAACCAGTAGAGGTGCAAAGGCGGAGAGGAAGAGAGGGAGAGACAGGGAGAGAAGGTGACCTCTTCTGTGGCAAAGGCATACAGGGTCTGTCAGCAGAGTAGAATTACTGCAGAAAACTCCTGACCATCCAGACCATCCACCAAGAACATGGAAACAGCAGCCCACCATGGGAGGAGCTTAAAAGCTATGGTAACTATAGCAACAAGAGACCCAAAATTAGTTCAACTACTAGATTAGCTCAACCTCTCACATTAATGATCTGTCTGAAAAAGAGGTGTGCCTATTCCCAGGTATAAATAATATTTACATTGGTCTCTACTAGTCTTTTACACACAGTAATAGGCACTGAATCAAAATTTTGTGTGACACACAAAAAGCAACCCCCCTAAACCCATTATCAACAGACAGAATAGGCAACACAACAAGACTCAAAGATGGTCCAGATGGTGAACTGATCAAATAATTTAAAATAACTATAATTAATATTTTAAGAATCCAGTGAAAAGGTGGACAACATGTACAAACAAATGGGCAACTTTAACAGAGACATGGAAATGACTTTTTAAAAGCCAAATGGAAATATTAGAAGTGAAAAACATGATATCAACGATTAACTCCTTTGGGGCACCTTGGTTAAGCTTCTGACTTTGGCTCAGGTCATGATCTCATGGTTTGCGGGTTCAAGCCCTGCACTGGGCTCTGTACTGACAGCTCAGAGCCTGGAGTCTGCTTAAGATTCTGTGTCTCCCTCTCTTTGCCCCTCTCCCGCTCATGCTCTGTCTCTCTCTGTCTCTCAAAAAGAAATAAACATTAAAAAGTAAACAAAAGATGAACTCCTTCAATAGGCAGACTGGGGACAACAGAGGAAAGATTCAGTGGAACTGAAAATATCTGAACGGAAAATAGAAACACAAAGACAAGAAGAAAAACACTGTGATCTGTGATCAAAAAGCAAAAAGCAAACCTAGCAAAACAAAAACAGAAGAGAACTACCAAGAGCTATGAGACAACATCAAACAATCTAACATATATACTTGACATCCCTTAAGAAAAAGAAAGAAAGGGACCAAAGAAATAATAATAATAAAAAAATAGCTGAGAATTTTTCCAAAATGTAACTATTAATAACAAATATAGATACAAGCAGGATGGATACATCTAGCACAACAGAGTGTAAGTGCTGAAAACCAAAAATAAGGAGAATATACAATATATTGGAGGAAATGGATAAAAAGAAATCAAAAAAGGAAATTAAGTCTTGGACTTAAGCTGTGGCCTCTCCATAGGAGACCAATGAGTGTTTAGCCTTTTAGTAAAATGTGGATTGTAGCAAAGCTGTCTCCCACACTTGCAGCCCTTACTAGACCATATAAACAATACTCGAGTGAAAGGATTTTGTGTTCCTTCACAAAGGCATCCATGCAGTAACCACAGAATGTAAATCTGAGGATGCAGGCATGGCATGGCATTTTGTGCAGACTCACCAAAACTTCTCAAAGACGTAGCTTGCTGAATAATATAGTTTTTGTTGTAGCGGAATTAAAATTATCTTTTGAAATAAGTCAAAAATGCCCGGAATTAGAGCTATCTGAATACCAAACGCAATGGGAGTACAAAACTGAAACTGAAATGTGTTATGGACCAAATGTAATGATATCATCTTTGCATTTGTTCCTATAAAACCCCAATAAGACCGGGAAAATAAAAACTTGCACAGCTTGCTCCTCTACAACTGTTTTTAAAAGTATCTTTTGGTTTTTGATATTAATTAGATTGCCTCAGTGGATAATCTTAGCTTTTGGAAAGTTGTGCTAATATGCAGAGGATATCTGTATCTATTTAATGCTTAGGAGATACAATTTCAAAACTAAAGCTGCCTGTTATAAAACACAAATAATGCACGAAAAAGAATTTAAAGAAGAGTTTGAGGCAAAACCTGAAAGGCTCGTATCTATTTAGCCTGTTCTTTGGGGTACTCTATTATTTGTAGGGAATACTGTCTAAAATCCTGGGTGCTTCTGTTTGAGGCACTGTCAGATGTTCCCTTAATCAAAGGGTCGGATTTGTTTTCTTTTTCTGCAGTTCGTGCTTGAGAGCTGCTAAAAGGTACCACCTGCACCTGGACACCTTGAGGCAGTTTCAGGATCCTAGAGTCAAGGCTCAAATATTCAAATGAACATGAGGCTTTTAAGTTTGGGGTCATTACTGCAGTTTGTTTAGTTTAAAAATATATGGAAAGTACACTAGTCAGTAGAATGAAAATATTTAAGTAAATAAAAAGCAAATGTGTGTAGTAGGTAAGGGGGTGGTCTCTGTAGCCAATCTGTTTACGTTCCCATCTCAGCTCTGATACTTACTTGCTTGTGCCTCAGTTTCTCATTTTTTAAAAAGGAATCATAATAATACCTACCTTAAAAAGCCCTAAATTTTTTTTTAAATTTACTAACAAATTGTTATGAGCTCTTAATAAACAAATTGTTATGAGGCTTCTTAAATGAATTAATGTGAAGGCCCAGACTAGTACCTGGCATGTGATTGGTGGTCTTTGTATTTATTATAATTATTTCTATTAGTGTCATTAATAAACTTGATATTAAAACAAAGTAAAAATGGATTAGCTGAATTGGAAATATCATATTTTCTTGAGAGAACCCAAAAGACTTTTTTTTTTCCTTCTGTGACTTAAACAGACTCTTCTGTGGTATAATCGTGTTTATTGTGGGTCATCATGTGGAATAATATAATATGTTCCCATAATGCCCAGAATTGGTTAACGTCACTAGTTTTGATGAGAGGGACCAGGATTCCTTTGCTGGTATACCGGCATCTTTAAAACACATTATTAACACTACTATAAAAACTGTACACATATAAGATAATTTCCTAAACTGAACTAAAAACAACTTAAATATCTTTAATAGTACTAATTGTAAAAAAAAAAATATTTTGACTATGCACATTTAAGTCATATTATGAGCAGTCATATTTGCCTCATCCTTTATTGTTTACGAAGTAATTGTATATTCCATAAGTACTCCAATTACTAATATTCATATAATATAAATATGATGTTATAAACCAGAACAAGAAACCCGCTATGGATTTGCTTTAATGAGTAGAGAAACTGCCCGTGTCCTCCACCAGAAAGACAAGAAGAGTTATTTTCTTAATAGGACCTCAGAGGGTATCTTTTATGGCCTACAGAACTGGAATGGAAGGCTAGAATATTATTATACTGGAAAGGATTTTATTATTATGTGTTTTCTCTAAAGTTTTTATTTTATAGTTAAGGTAAAAAGTGAAATCCAGGAAAGGCCTAAATTAGAATTGCTCTTAGGGGATTAAGCATGTTCTTAAAAGCTGGAAAAATATGTCATTTATATACAAACCATAAGCACTCTTAAAATTTTTTTTTTTTTTTCAACGTTTATTTTATTTTTTGGGACAGAGAGAGACAGAGCATGAACGGGGGAGGGGCAGAGAGAGAGGGAGACACAGCATCGGAAACAGGCTCCAGGCTCTGAGCCATCAGCCCAGAGCCCGACGCGGGGCTCGAACTCACGGAGCGCGAGATCGTGACCTGGCTGAAGTCGGACGCTTAACCGACTGCGCCACCCAGGCGCCCCCCATAAGCACTCTTAAAAGGCCAGACCAAAAAAGAACATCATGAGAAATAATGCAGTGACAAGACAGGTACAGCAAAATCCAGAACTATTTAAAACATCAAATTTCCAAGTGGAAAGTTCATAGAAAGTATCTATCTGTGCCCTAAACAGAATAGTGAGCTAAGAAATGTAGCTGGATACAGGGTGAGCTGTTCATGGTCTTTAATATGGCAGGTGACTTAGATGCTTGAGTTTGGGGAAGCCATATGTAACAGAATGAACAGTCCAGAGAAAGGTGTTGACAAGCAAAGGAACACAGGGCACCCTTGGAAAAGATTGGAAGGCAGCACCAGGCACACCCTGTGAAGCAGTGAGTTGTCCTTTCCAGTTTTCAGCCCCTACCAATAACTCACATTATTTTCAACATCTTTCTTGCAAATGTACTTGCTCATATGTATTAATTAGTGGTCACAGACTTACACACAAGCCTCTAATTCAAGAATGTTCCTGTTACTGGCAAATGCTCTGCAAGATAGCATCTTTTATACTTTTTAGTATTAAAATGTTGCTATCTATTTATTTGGCACTTTGCAAATTATAACTCCTATTCCTCCTAAACACATTCACAACTCAAAGAATGGGGAAACTTTTGGAGTTTGGACTTTTGTTTCTTTCATTGTTTTTTCTTTTAAAAAAAGTGTATCCCCAAATGTCCATCATAAATATAAACATATAATTTCAGATACATCACTTTTATTTTTTTATGTAAAGTTAAATAACTTTTTTAAATTAAAAAAAATTTTTTTGAGAGAGAGAGAGAGACAGAGAGTGGGGGAAGGACAGAGGAAGAGGGAGACACAGAATCTGAAGCAGGCTCCAGGCTCTGAGCTGTCAGCACAGAGCCCGCCCGATGTGGGGCTCAAACTCACAAACTGTGAGATCATGACCTGAGCTGAAGTTGGAGGCTTAACTGACTGAGCCACCCACGCATCACTAAATATCTTCCTTTTTAAAAACAAGTATAGGGGGCGCCTGGGTGGCTCTGTTGGTTGAGCGTTAGACTTCGGCTCAGGTCATGATCTCGCAGTTTATGAGTTCAAGCCCCACGTCGGACTCTATGCTGACCGCTCATAGCCTGGAGCCTGCTTCGGATTCTGTGTCTCCCTCTCTCTCTGCCCCTTCCCTATTCACACTCTGTCTCTCTCTGTCTCTCAAAAATGAATAAATGTTAAAAAAATTAAAAAAATAAAAACAAGTATAGATTTTTATACTAAGTATTAATGAGTTGAAATATAATCTTACCCTGGTATGGGTACGAATATGCATCTTCAGTCCATCATTTTTACTGAATCCTTTTTCACAGTAAGGACATTGATAGGGCCGCTCACCTGCAAACAGAGGAAGTCTCCAGGTCAGAAAAAAAGTAAGGTAGCAAAGCACTGTGCCATTTGGTAGGCCCTGCACTACCAGAAAGAGGCTCCACATGCAGCTGAGCCAACACACGGTGGCAGTTCAGGGCAATGGACTGTGTCTTCCCCTTGTGCACGGAGGGACTGAGCCCAGAGCACTTCAGTATTTAAACATTTGCCAACATCAGGCTTGTGTCATGTTCCTTTTAATACGTGAGCCCGAGTTAAATCTCCTGATTTTCTGCTGGGCTCAATCTCATGAACTGTGAGATCATAACTGGAGCCAAAATCCAGAGTCAGACAGTTAACCCACTGAGCCACCCAGGTGCCCTGATTCTTTGCTTAAAAAAATTTTTTTTAATGTTTATTTATTTTTGAGAGAGACAGAGCACAAGCAGGGGGAGGAGAGGGAGAGGAGGACACAGAATCTGAATCTGAGCTGTCAGCACAGAGTCCAACGTGGGGCTCAAACCCACAAACCACAAGATCATGACCTGAACCGAAGTCGGAGCTTAACCAACTGAGCCACCCAGGAGCCCCTTGATTCTTTGGTTTTAAAAAGAGATTTCATATTCTATATCAGTTGGGGGTGATGAGTTTCAAAAGAATTTCACAAATTGGTAATATGTTAAGTAGAACCACTGGTAGTCCAATAACTGATCCATACTCGCTCAGATTACTGAGTACCTTCCATCTAGAGGTTATTTAGAAAACAGGCAAACCATTTTTAAAAAAACAAGTGAACATACACAACACATTAAAAGAAATTTTACTATGAGATGACAAAATGTGACAAAATTTAGTCTCCAGGACAAATCTGAAGCTACCCTCTAGTCAAAGCCTAATTATTTAGAAAGAACAGTAACTCAGAATCACTATTTATTCTTTATTCTCTCATTTAACAATGCACTTACTTAGGGGGCGCCTGGGTGGCGCAGTCGGTTAAGCGTCCGACTTCAGCCAGGTCACGATCTCGCGTTCCATTAGTTCGAGCCCTGCGTCAGGCTCTGGGCTGATGGCTCAGAGCCTGGAGCCTGTTTCCGATTCTGTGTCTCCCTCTCTCTCTGCCCCTCCCCCGTTCATGCTCTGTCTCTCTCTGTCCCAAAAATAAATAAATGTTAAAAAAAAAAAATTAAAAAAAAAAAAAAAAAGAGAAAAAAAAAAAAACAAAAAAACAATGCACTTACATGGCAGGATGCCAGACCCTGCAATCAAAGAAGGACACACTAAAATGTTTGCCTTCAGCATATGTAAAACTTCCATGTCTTCCCTTTCCCTCAGAGACAGGTCTTTCCTTTCATAAGCAGCATATGTTAGTCCTTTACTTGCTCATGTCCCATTTGAGTCTCACTCTGGTTCAATCTGGGTATCACTCGCATTATTCCAGCAAACTCCCCTGTGAGGTCAACAATGAACTCCTTGTTGCTCCAATGGTCACTTTTCATCACAGTCTTTCTGACCTTCCCATTGTGTCTGACACTGCTTCATGAGATGGCAGCAACAATGTTGAGTTGCAAGGCCCCTGTGACACATGGGGCCTTGCTCCGCCTAAGTACTGTGTGTTTTCAGCAGTAACATCACGTAGACGTGAATGTAGCAGAGCCCCCAGTGAAGCCTCATTTTCCCAGCCTCCCACCGGGAAGGAGCACCCAGGACTCTCCCTTTGAATTGGGCACTATAACATGATGGCAACCTCCCAAAATGGAAAAAAAAAAAAAAAAAAAAGGTAAATAAAAGTAACAATGGCCGTACAAACAGAAACAGTACTCTTTAAAGAACTATCCAGACTTGTCAACTTCTTTTGTGAGACAAAAATCAACCTTTGCACTAGGGAAGTGGACCTGGAATTTTTGACCTTATTATAATCATGACCCCTAGGAAGGTGTGGCTTCCTAGAAGAATAAAGGCATAGAGTCCAATTTATTTGAAAAACTATGAAAATAGAATCTTATTTTAACACTAAACTTATAACACATATTTATCTTAATTCAGATCTCTCTGTGGAGCCCCAGTCTTGAGAGAGTCATACATCAACCAGGTATCCTTATTTGGATATGCCACAAATAACTCCAATTTGGCATTCTGAATTCATGTCTTCAACTTCTAATCCTATGTGCTCTGCATCTCCTGCCCTGATTAGTGATACCACACTCATCCAGTTACCAAATAGGAAGCTTAGCCCTCCAACGTACTTCCTTTTATTCACTGTCCCCTATATCCAGTACCTAAGTCATAATGATTGTACTTCTCTGATATTTCTGTAATGCTTCTCCTTGATGATGATGACAAAAATGAAAATGAATTAATAATAGTAGCAGTAGTAACAGCATCAGCAGTAGTGGAAGGAGTGGTAGCTACAACTGCCATTTATTGATTTCTTGACCATTTAACCTTTACCATGCATACCCCTCCCCCCCTTGCAAAAAAAGAACTGAAGAATACAGAATAACACAGCAAAATGCTAATGCTGACAGTGGTAACTCCTGCATCATAGAATTCCAGATAATTTTTTTTTATTTCCTTCTTATAAAGTATGAAAAGCAAAGCAGTCTTTTAGATTTTTCAAAGTTTGTTTTACTTTAGTGATAGACAATGAAGAATGCTAAAATGTTTCTTATTTATTAACAAATCAACCAACAAATCAAATCTAGATTACAAATAAAGCATGATAAAAACAGTAAGTGGTTTACACTTTGAAAAAGTCATTTCAAAATTCTTCTCACAAGCCTAAAATAATTTAATATTCATAGTATTCTCTTTGTTTAGCTTTAGGTGTCTTCTCACTCTCTAAATACCAACAGAATATCCAGCAAACAAAAATCAAAGACTTGTAGTCATCAGGTAAATTAAATGTTAATTAAGCCTAATGTAACATACCACATTACTATTTTCTTTCTTAATAGCTAAAATTGATTAAGCAAAAAAAGAGATAAAGAAATTCTAGAGAATGGAGCAAAACAAATCCATTCTTTACATTACCTAGAGTCATCATATAGAAATTTCCTCTATAGACATGAAAATGTTAACTTCTGTTAGGATAGATTTTCTCCTTTTTTTAGAATCTGATTGTCCTGAATTTGAATAATACTTGTCCTCTTTCTATATAACTCTGGGGAGGTTATTCAACCTCACTGAACCTCTGAAAAATGGGATAAATTGTATCTATCTCATAGGGACAGTGACCATGTATTCAGGTTTGCCTAAGGCAATTTCAGTCTATGCTGCTTATCCCAGATTAATGATTAACACTACTCCCTTCACTTTCACCAGTGTCCCAATTAGGACAATAAAAATACATGGTTACCTATTACAGATTGAACTGTGCCTCCCCTCCAATTCATATGTTGAAGTTTTAACCCCCATTACCTCAAAATGTGTCCTTGCAAATGTCTTTTGAGTAGCGTAGATCCCTAATCTAATATACAAGAAGATGGTCACGCAAAGACACACACAAGGAGTACTCCCTGTGAAGAGTCCAGTGATGTGGCCACAAGACAAAGAACTACCAGGAGCCAAGAGAAAGATCTCAAACAGGTCCTTTCTTAGTGCCAGAGGGAGCTGGCCCTGATGACACCTTGATCTTAGACTTCTAGCCTTCAGAACTGTGCAACAACAAATTGTTTAAACTACTCAGTTTGTGGTACTTTGTTACAGCAGTCCTAGCAAACGAATACAGTCACTGGACTCATAAGGTTAGCAAATTTTTATAATTTTTTAAAAAGTTTATTTATTTTTGAGAGACAGCATGAGCAAGGGAGGGGCAGAGACAGAAGGAGAGAGAATCCCAAACAGGCTCTGCTCTGACAGTACAGAGCCTGATGTGGAGTTCAACTCACAAAACCACAAGGTCATGACCTGAGCTGAAACTGAGACTCTGACACTTAACCAACTGAGCCACTCAGGCACCCCATTAACATTTTTTTAATGTTTATTTATTTTTTAGAGAGAGAGAAAGCAGGGGAGGGCAGAAAGAGAAGGAGACACAAAATTCGAAGCAGGCTCCAGGCTCCGTGCTGTCAGCACAGAGCCCAATATAGGGCTTGAACTCATGAGCCATGAGATCATGACCTCAGCTGAAGTTGGACGCTTAACCAACTGAGCCAACCAGGTGCCTAATTTTGGCAATTACTATCTTTACTGATGTCTCTCTGTGCTGCACATGAGGCATATGTAAACTGCCCAGAAGAAGAGAAACTGGTACCTCCAGAGGACTGAATTTCTGCTCCGTTCCTACTCCAACCCTGAGATCCAGTGATAATGAGCTGATATGTTTGGGAAATTTGGGTAAGTCCAATTCCACTCATTCATTGTAATATCCCTGAACAGAACTCTAATCTTAAAGGATGTCACTGGGTAAATGGCTTTGATGAATAGAATTCATTTGAAATCTAGCCTGCGTGATTTGCAAATCAGCTTACACTCTACATTAAACTGCTACCCTCTCTATGCATTTGTTTGGAGCATCTTTAAGGCAATCAAGCCCGTAAGACTCTGAAGACAAAGCCATCTGTGGTCCCACACAATCTGCAGCTGAAGGTGACCTGTACAAGTGAACATGCTAATAACTATTAAAGTCATTTGCCTAATTTTCATTTTTAAAGGAAGCTGTTATTCTTAGTTGTTTTTTTACATTATGCATATGATACATTCCTTCATTATTTCAAATTATTGTGATGCATATGTCTCTAGGAAATATTTTTATCTACACATTAGATTATTCTGGAGTAAACAGGACCTAATCTTCAATTTGAGTTAACCCTGAGAATATAAATCTTTCTTTTTTATTTGAGAGAGAGAGAGAGAGAGAGAGAGAGAAAGCCTGTGTATGTGAGCTGGGGAGGAGGGCAGAGGGAAAAAGAGAGAGAGAGAACTTTTTTTAATATTTATTTATTTTTGGGTGAGCTCAAGTGGGGGACAGGGACAGAGAGAAAGGGACAGAGGACCTGAAGTGGGCTCTGCACTGACAGGCTGACTGCAGT